GGCCATCCGGGTGAGGTGCCTCTTCACCCCCTGCCATACCTCGGGCCACATGTGCTACTTCATGTGGGAGGACGGCTCCCCGGACGCTCCGGCTCTCTTCTCAGGTACCCCACCCTGCCAGCATGCACCCATGGGTGCCGGGGACATGGGCCGTGCTGCCCGTGTGCTGCCTGTCCCCCCGGCTCTTGGCGCTCACAGGGCAAATCCAGCACGTGGGGGCTCCCAGCCGGCAGCGGGGACAGGGTCCCCTCTGTGCCCAGACCCCTTTCTCCACAGGTGACACCCTGTTCGTGGGAGGCTGTGGGAAGTTCTTCGAGGGGACGGCAGAGCAGATGTACACCAACCTCACCCAGATCCTGGGGGCTTTGCCGAAGGAGACGGTGAGTTCCCGGCATCTCAGCCCCAGCCTGGCTAGGGACCCCAAAATTATGAGGGGGCTCAAGGCTGGCAGCGCCTGTTGCTGGGGCTGCAGCAGGACCAGGATGGGTCGGACCCAGCACCGGGCACACGTGTGATGCCAGGTGCTTCCTGCTGGCCTTGCAGAAGGTGTTCTGCGGCCACGAGTGCACCGTCCGAAACCTCAAGTTCGCCTTGAAAGTGGAACCGGAGAATGAAATAGTGAAGAAGAAACTTGCGTGGGCCAAAGTAAGTGGCTGTGCCCCGGCCAGGGTGAGGGCTGAAGGGGTTGTTGGATGCTGGTGGGTTTTTGGATATCTCTGGTTCCTCGGCAGCAGCGGGATGACGAGGACTTGCCCACGGTGCCCTCCACGCTGCAGGAGGAGTTCCTCTACAACCCCTTCCTGCGGGTCACGTAAGCAGCACCAGTGCCTTGGGGGCACAAAGGGCCCGTCAACCCCGAACGGAGCCGGGGTGGCTGGGCCCCGGCTGGCTGGTCCTGCCCCCAAACTCTGCTCCCCTTTTCCCTCCAGCATCACCCCTTGTCCCATGGCTTTGCTAGCTGGTGGGAAATCCAAGCCCGAGGGAGGGGAGGGTGCCCAGATGCAGAGTCCCGCACTGCCCAGCACGGGGCACCCGCAGACAGGCCCCCTGTGCCCGGCAGCCACCTGGGATGGTGACTCCCCCATTGTCCGTCCCGGTGTGCACTGGGGTCCCAGCAGGGAGGGGGGTCCCCATCCCGTCCCCCACGGTCACAGCAGAGCCAGTCTCCTTGCAGGGAGGAGCCCTTGCAGAAGTTCACGGGCAAAATGGACCCGGTGGAGGTGCTGAGGACCCTCCGCACTGAGAAGGATAACTTCAAGAAGCCCAAGGAGCGGCCCAATCCCCAGGCCATGCTCGCGTTCGACTGGGGACTCTTCAGCCCCTTCCTCGAAAAGAAGTGAGCAGCTGTGGCGGTGGCTCCCGAAACGCAGCATCCCCGTCGCGGTGGGGCCTTCCTCCCGGGGCTGCGTCCATCCGGCTCTGACTTACTCCCGCAAGACTCGGCGGTTTGGGAAGTGGTTTCTGTCTTTAACCTGCTTGTTTTGAGGCTGCTCTTGCTTCGCTCCCTGCAGTGCCTTGCGCGGCTCCCCTGGCCCGTGGGAGCTCTGCGGAGCGCCCGGTCCCGGGGGGACGGGGCTGCGTGGGTGCCTTCGGCGAGCTC